TCAATTTTATTTAATAGTTAACATAATTTAATATAATTTAAATTATACTATATACTTTTTTATTTTTAGTGTTTATGTCATCATTTGAAATTTTAAAATGAATAATAAATTTAAAAAGTTAATTTTAAATAATTAAAAAAATTAGAGTCACTATTTATCTAAATAATAATAGGATAGGTTATTGTAAATTAATCTTAAATTCAAATTTAAAATACCTAATTTTAAAAGTTTCAAACTGTTAGTGTTGAGAAAAAGCGAGGTTTTTTATTTGCAAATTAAGAAACAAACTCAAGAGAAGGAAATGTTCTTTTTGCTTTCCATACCACTTGGCGAACTCTCCATTGGCTAGGGAGACGGGGGCGGGTTTTAAAGTACTTGAGATTAATTTATTAATTTCCTCTTAAGTTCGAAATTAATTTCCTCTGATTAATTTCAAAATGAATAATAAATTTAAAAAGTTAAGCTTTAAATAATTGGCCATGTTTGATTGAGTAAATTGGTTGAGGCAATTTCCCAGCATTGTTGTGAGCTTTAGTAAAGTTAATGTTGCTTGCATGGTGTGTGACAAAATGCTTAGCTTTGAGATTGAGAAAACTTTATATTCTAATCAAATTCCTCATAAGAGATTCATCAAAAGTAAAGAGTCCCCAGATCATGAATATTACATATCATTAACTCATGACAATTTTTGTTTGTGTCTCAACATGATATGACATGCATGACAACAAGTATTCATCACTTCATGGAATAAATGGTTTGCAGGAAAGTTAGGACGAGAAGGATAGCAGCAGCAATCTGAGAAACAATGGCCCATGGCTTTGCAAAAAAATTGTGGGTATAAAAAGCTCGCCATTTAGGCCAAAATTTCTGCTGATATTCATTCACTTCCCAGCAAAGCTTCCAGTAATAAAACTCTTTCACAAAAGTGTCATGGTATAGCATCTTAAAGAACGGTGTGGTGTCATGCGGGTTAAGCCAGTTGATAAGAATCCCACTCTTGCCGAGTTCTTCCATTTCCTCTTCATTGTTGATAAGGTTGTCCAAGAGAATAGCATAGCTTGTAATTCTGGGAGAACAATTTGGATAACATTGCTCGTAGCTGATCAGATTTCGGAAGGCAGGTTCAATGGTTTCTTGGACGAGAATTGATGGCATTTCCAGAGTGCCTCTTCTGAATTTGGCATCCAGGATGCTTGGTGATCCCACTGTCCTGAAACTGATTCCAGATTCTTTGATGCTGGTGGCAGAAGAAATAGTCCGCCATGACACAGATGACTACTCTTCTTGGCCTTGCTGCTGCCCAAGTGGCAACACCAAAGAACTTCTTATCAAATCAAGAATGTGCTGGATTTCTTGATTGGCGAAGAGATTTAGTTGTATAGGAGATTTCTCAGATGAAAAAATGTTGTCGAAGAAAACCAAGGCGAGTTGAAGTAAGGACTTGGTTTCAAACGAATCACTTGTTAAGCTAAACAGAAGCTCAAGCACAAACCAAGGTATTTGATTTTCCAGCAAAATCAAGTCATGGTATAAGAACTGAAGCATACAGGAAGTAGAGAAAATAGGATCATTTTCACCTTTCTGAACCACTCCAGCATCCTTCCTGTCACGCCCCAACCCCAAGGTCAAGACGTAACAAACGTCATACATCTATAGGGATGACCCCATAAATGTGTAATGCTACCTTAACTAAACAACTTTTAGTGTCCAAATACAATAAAATTAAATTCTATAAGAAACTCCATCTTTATTAACATGTACGAAAAGTTGGTCAAATCCAAAATACTTGATCCTCACTTCATAAAATCCAACATAAAATTTAATAGCAATAAGTCATAGCAAATAGATCTTCAATTCTAATTATTCCACAATCCAGAATAACTTAAAACTAAACCAAAGAACTACTCTAGAATCGTTGTGCCTCTCACTCCCAAATGCAACCCCAAATGCTTATTCATCTGTACCTGAAATGAGATGAGATTTTAAAAGCATAAACTAGACAGCTCAGTAAGAGTATACCCATCTAGTTCGATCAAGCATTGTATTTCAATGAAATAATAATTAAATAAAGTAAACAACTTTTCAATAAGGAAACCACATTTCAAACTAGATGAAAAGAAACAACAATTTCAAGTTCTTTAGGCCGCATCACACTCCAAATATAGCATCACACTCCACATCACACTCCATGATAAATAGATCCCGGGACTACTATCAATACCCTCAGTATACCCCTGAGGAACGAGTTAATTTATCCAGCCAACCAAGAACATGAAAACCCAATATCAAAAGAAAAATTATTTCAATTTAATAAACCACGCTCTTCGATAGAAAACAGTCCACACTCAAAATGATTGATCAACATTCATCTCATTTCATTATAAAATATTCCTATTCTTAAGACATAGTAACCAAATAAAATTATATAAAATACACTGAAAAAGTAAAATAAATTTCAATAAAACAAACCTTTTAAAAATAATACTAGAGGATATAACAACTTACCTCAAATTATTAATCAATTTTTCACTCGACGCTGTCTCTTGAATTATTTAAAACTTTCCTACTATCTTCTTTGTTAGAATTGAAAAGATCTACTAATCGTAGCCCATATTGCTAGAATCGAATCTGACATGAAATAGAGTTCCAAAATTCTCTCAATTCCTCTTCCAATTCACATTCTTAATTATAAAATTAGATCTAAGAACAAAACCATCACATAATTGGGAAACTTACCCTAAAATTTCCTCAATTCGACTAATCCGGCAATCTATCGGACGGAAGCCCCTTTCTATGCTTTCACAAATGGGCGACAGCACCTTCAGAAGTGGGCGGCAGCATTACAAAATTTTTGCCAACCCCTAGCCCGTTTCCTATTTGCAGGCGTAAGAAAGGTGACGATCCTATTTCCCCAAAAAGAAAGTGGGAAAAATGAAACTGCCGACTCACTTGATTTGGGGCTTTTTACAAAAAGGAAATATTGTTAATTGGTCCCTAAGCTTAATTATAAGGTTCTAGTCCCTGAGTTCCTTACATCATTATAATTTCAACCCCAAATTTAATT